CCATCAGGCCCGTGCAACATGATTTCGGTGGTAGTGAAAGGAGTGTACGTGGATGCTCTGGTGAACATTGGTGCAGCCTTTTCTGTTATGCCGGTTGATTCAGGCCAACGTCTGAAAAAAGTGATGACCCCTTACGATGGATCCACGTTGCTTGCTGCCCTGGGATATACCATTCGCCCTTCCGCTTTCTGTACAGCCACTTTTTTATTAATGCTATCCGACACCACATTCAGTTCGCCGTCCTGATAGACTGCACTCACCAATTAATTTTAGGGCGGGATTTTCTTTCTTCTGCCTCCGCGGCTATTTGCTGTTGCCAACGCGTCGTCCACCTCACCGACACGGACTGCATGCTCAACTACGACCCTCAGAGGCCACTTCGTTTGACAGCTGCGGAAGATACCGAATTACCACCAGGTCAAGAGCGAATGGTAGCTATTACTTCCAAAGACATCGACCATGGCCACGTCTTGGTTTCACCATCATTTAGTTGCGTCGGTAAAGGCATCATTCTCGCTTCCGGTGTAGTTCATTTTTTCAATGGTTCCGCACTTGTCACCGCCGTGAATACAACGTTCGAAAAAATTCTATTTCCTCAGAACACCACGGTCGCCTGCGTGACGGATCCCGAGCCTGCGTGCATTGTGCCACTTTATGCCGTCTCCTCCAACGACAGCCCTAGTGGTGAGCTTACTTCTTCCGTCTTTACTGCAGCCATTAGTGACGACTTGACACCTTCACAGACGCAACAGCTGCTTGCTTTGTTAAAGAAACACGCAAGTTCCTTCGGTGTTTACTCCTCAACATTGGGCCGCACTACTACTAAAACGCATCAAATCCACACAGTCGGAACATCTGTTGTACGCCGCCGGCCCTACCGCGTGTCTCCTGCTGGGAGAAAAATTATCGAAGAAAACGTAGCTGACATGCTCAAACGAGAGGTAATTCACCCCTCATCTAGCCCTTGGTCGTCGCCTGTGGTTCTGGTTCGTAAGAAGGATGGCTCCGTGCGCTTTTGCGTCGATTACAGGGCGCTCAACAAAATCACTCGCAAGGATCTGTACCCAATGCCTCGCATTGACGACGCCCTTGATTCTCTACAAGGTGCGAAATACTTTTCCAGCCTCGACCTGCGTTCCGGATACGGCCAAATTGTGCATGAACAGTATAAAGAGAAAATGGCATTCGCAACCCCAGACACGCTCTACGAATTCAACGTTATGCCTTCCGGGCTGTACCGTGCTGCGCGGCCTCAAATGGAAAACCTGCCTCTGCTACTTAGAGGACATCGTCATTTTTTTGTCAACGTTTCTTCAGCACCTACAACATTTGGATGAGCAGCACCTACATGATGAGTAGCACCTCAGCACCTACAACATTTGGCTTTCCACGCTGAAGAATTTGTCTGGTCGCTTCGGTCGGTAGATTCTACGTTTACAGGAGTATGACTTCGATATCACTTACAAGTCGGGTAGAAAACACCAAGACTCCAACGTCCGTTCGCGCTGCCCGCTACCAAATACCCAGCTCAGCATCAGTCAAAGTTCGGCCATCACTTCTACTGCAGCGCCCGCGCTCGCCTCGGTAGACAAGCTATTCTCGAACGTCAAGCGCACAATTCACTCCTGCCAGTGGTCTGATCCGTACTGTAGGCGTGTTATGGACTAGCTCTCAGGAGCTTCCCATCCACCTAACACGCGGCATCGTCGTGAACTCTTGCGATTTAAGCTGGAGAATGGAGTTCTGTACCGTCACATCTACCACCCTGATGGGCAACGCTGGGTTCTCGTGCTACCACGCTCTCTTCGACTTGATGTGCTTAAAGCCTTTCACGACGACTTGACTGCTTGACATCTTGGTATTCAAAAAACTCGCGACTGCATTTGAAGTCGCTTCTACTAGCCTGGTATTTCTATTAGCATCGTGCGCTATGTCAGTTCCTGTGTCCCATGCCGGCGTCGTAAAATCCAGACAACTGCATCGGCCGGGCCTCTGCAGCCAATTCCGTGCCCCACAACGCCATTGGAAGTTGTAGGTATCGACCTTTACGGCCCTCTTCCCGTCACATCTACTGGCAAACGATGGATAGTGACCGCCGTAGACCACTTGACATGCTACGCGGAGACAACGTCTGTATCAACTGCCTCTGCTTCGGAAGTTGCAGACTTCGGTCTGCACACCATCATTCTGCGCCATGGCACCCCTCGTATACTGCTGAGTGACCGTGGAAGGGTCCTCCTGTCAGAAGTGCTAAAGGAAGTATTGCACGCCTCGGGAATAACACACAAGACAGCTTCAAGCTACCACCCTCAGACCAACGGTCTCACTGAGAGGTTTCACCGTACTCTTGCTAATATGATAGCCGTCTACATCAGTCCAGACCACAAAAACTAGGATACTCTTCTGCCATTCCTCACCTTTGCCTACAACACGGCCGTTCAGCACACCATATTCACCGATCTACTTCGTTTATGGGCGTTCTCCTACTTTCTTCCTCGGCGTTTCCTTTTTCAACAGTGACGTCAACTCTTCTCCTTCCAGCGAGGAATACATTTCAAGACTAGCCCGGTGTCGCGATCGTGCTCGCATCAACACGGAAGCGCGACAGCGAGATTGAAAAGTCATTTATGATGCATCCCATCGCCTTGTATTCTTCCGACCTGGTGACGAGGTGCTCCTGTTCACACCTATTCGTACACCTGGTCTGTATGACAAGTTTCTGCCACACTTCATTGGGCCTTACATTGTTATCGAGCAGACTTCGCCCGTTAATTATCATGTGACCCTACTTGTCATCCCAACGGACCGCCGTCACTGCACCACAGAGATCGTGCACGTGTCTCACATGAAGCCTTTCAGGCGACATTCTTTGTCACATTGACTTGCTACGGCCAGGTTGGCCACTTTGATGTGGGGAAAACTAGTGTGGGCATTCGTAATGCACTTCTCATATATGCATTATCATAATCATCATCATCCGTCTGGGTCTCTGTCCTCATCTTCACTAGGTGTCACCACAATCGTCATCGGGTGTGTGCGCGCTCAGTCTCAGGCTGCCCGTTCGTTTCTGAGCCCTTGGGCTGTTTAAACGCTGTCTTAACCCAGACATCATAGTATGCTTACTTTTACAGATTTGTAAGCACTATCTGCCTTGGTAGCTTAAGGCTAAGGTGCTCCGTTGCTAAGTTCAAAGGCGTAGATTTGATTCCTGGCTGTGGGGACCACATTTCAAGGGGAGTTGAAATGCATGCACTTGCATACTTGGTTTAGGTGCATGCTCAAGAGTCCTAGGTCAGGAGTTTTCCCACTTTGGTGTGTTTCATGCTAAGGCATGTGAGACTCCAGATTTGAATTAGTGTTAATTTAATTTGGTAGCACTGCATGACCTACTTAGCATGCTTGTCTACTTACACCTAATGAAGGACCCTTTGACATGGTGATAAAAAAAAGCTGTTTAAATGGTATTACAAAAAAAAATAGGCATGCGTACATTATTTTTCTTTGGTCAATGGCACTTCTGCATTAAAAAAAAAATGGCTGATGACCAATATGGCCTTGGGATATCTGGGATTCTCATGGTCAACTCAGATGGCAGAGCAATCACACTGATGAGACATTGGCTCAGGGTTTCGTGAAAATGGCCAAATTTCTCCTCAATAAGAAAGTATTTCATTGTCTCATGAACCCTAATGGATTTTTCTGTACTTATTTCAACAAAAACTATCCTTGTAATTCAACTGCTTTTGATGTTAGTGCCACCATAGATGTGTGGCAGTTATGCCAATGAAGTTAACCTTTGGTAATTTTTTAGGGTTTAAAAATAGAGTACATAAAAAACTGGCTACCTTCCAAAAATCATAAATGAAGAGTTGCCAAAGGTCTGCAGTATTTTATTCATCTTGTTGTTAAGAGTGCCTATGTGCAGTGTGCCTTGGGGATCATTATTTCATAAAAAAATCTCATTTTCTTTCTTTTATTTTAGAGAATATTATTTAAGACTTCTATTTATCATTGCTTCAAGTGTTGGTATGGCTGCAAAAGAAGGAAGTAGCATCTCACATGCTTATTTGACTCATGGCGGCGATCACCACGGCATTAAAGTGCCAATAGTCAACGTGCCCAACATTGTGCACTGCCAGCCGTGGAACATGCCCGTGCCACCGCCTGCGAAGGTACACCTTAAGCGGCCTCACTGCAGTGGTCTAGTGGCTAAGGCTGCCGATCCGCAGGTCAGAGGATCGAATCCCGGTTGCGGTGGTTGTATTTTCGATGAAGGCGAAAATACTGTAAGCCTGTGTACTCAGGTTTGGGTGCACATTAGAGAACCCCAAGTGGTCAAAATTTCCGGAGCCCTCCACTACGACGTTTCTCATAATCATAGACTGGTTTAGGGACATTTTACCCACATATCCTGCCAATCACAGAATCGAATTCCGGTTGCGGCGGCTGCATTTTCGATGGAGGCGAAAATTCTGTAGGCCTGTGTACTCAGATTTGGGTGCATGTTAGAGAACCACAGGTGGTCAAAATTTCCGGAGCCCTCCACTACGACGTCTCTCATAATCATAGACTGGTTTTGGGACATTAAGCCCCACATATCAATTTTACCCCTCAAGTGCAGGCTCATTGGCATTACAACCTAGCCCCACTCAACATCATTCACTTCGTGAAGATGGTGGGATTTTTTTTATGTCATGGAGATGTTTAGGTGGGAAGTTTGGTCTAGTATGCTCAGGCTTTTTCTTTTTTTTTTAGTTTATATGTTGTAAGTGTAACATCGATAAAGCATATGAAGCCTTTCTAATTCAGGTTCACGCCTTCTTGTCTTTGTGCCTTCGTTTGATAAGCTAGCTCGAGTTAATCAATGGTGCAAAGGAATAATTTTTTTTTGTAGTAATATACATTGTCGTCCTTTTTCTGTCCATTTCTTACTGGGCACTTCAAGATGTATTTTTGTTTTGTTGTTGTTGCAAGCTCCACTAATTGTTAAGAGCTTCCAGATTTTGCACGGTGACTTGAAGACTCTGGCATTGTGTCTTGATCCAGTAGCCTTTGACGCTAGCATGTAAGCACTTATCGTTTTTATGCATGATTGGTCAGACTGTAAGGGATGCAAAAGCTAAAAGTCTCTTCTTACAGCAAAAAGCTCAACAAGACCTATGAAGAAGGTGTCCTGAAGGAAGGTGAACTAGACGAACGGATATTTCTTGATGAAAATTCACAGGACCGTATTGGTACACCACGACATACTTTGGACTCTGTGCAGCGAGAGCTGCGAATGTGCAAAGCTGCCACTGTAGTCAAGGTAGGGTGTTTTGTTTGCCTTCTGGCATATTGGTGGTTTTATTGCAGAGGCAGCTCATTACATTTGTATTTATTGTGTTTGTAATATGTTCTTGATGTGTACCTTATTAAATATAAATACATCAGTATATACAAGTGTGGCAACGAAAGCCAAGTTGGTCAAAAATAGTTTGTAGCTTCCAAGCCTTGCTTGGAAGCTACAAACATGTGAACACAGTAAAGAAAAAAAACTTAGTAATATACAATCGTAGATAAAAATGCAATAAACGTCTTTTTTTTATAGACATTACGGTCATACAGGGTTGAGATCTCTACTGGGAGTGTTGTGTAATACTACCCAAGATAGAGCGCGTGTCGTATATAAGATAAGATGCACATGGAAGTGTCTGGCTCTCTGACGTCACTGTTAAGTTCTTTGTTAGATATAAGACCGCCGCGGGTGTGCGGTGGGATTCTTTTTCCGTTGTATTGCTCGTTGAAATAAACATGTGTGTGTTGGCTAGTCGGCTCCCAAGTTGTGAAGACATAACAGTGGCGACGAGGATGGGATGATACTCGGGCACGTTAGCCGGGCCTCGGCTGTAGCTCACGTCACGGCACCAGTATTCTAGGAGCGGAAAGCGTCCTGGTGGATTACCACGACATGGCTTCCTTTGGCCGGTTTGAGCCGTTCACGGAAGAGGGAGACGAAGACTTCGACTCATATGCGGAACGCTTTGAACATTACGTCCGGGCGACCCAGGTCAGTGAAGACTTGAAGGTGTCAGTCTTTGTCACCGCCATTGGAAAACAGGCCTACCGCACGTTGAAGAATTTATTGGCCCCGACCAAGCCGGAAGAGAAAACGTACGACGAACTGCTCCAAATACTGAAAGGGCACTATTCCCCGAAGCCTTTGGTGATAGCGGAAAGATTCCGGTTCAACCGTCGGTCGCAGCGGGAAAATGAGTCAGTTGCCGCATTTGCGTTAGAATTAAAAAGGCTGGCTGGATCGTGCGAGTTCGGCCAATTCTTGGATGACGCCCTGCGGGATCGGTTCGTGGCCGGACTGAGAGATGAAACGGCACAAGCAGAGCTGCTTAAGAAGAGTACCCTGACGTTTCAAGCTGCCTATGACCTGGCGAAAAGTGGGGAACTCGCTCGCACAGAAACCAGAAAAATTCACCCCAAAGAACTCGGTGACGTGAACTTGGTGCGGCCACACCACCCCCAACGGTCCACAGGTACGAAAAGGGGCGTGAGCGGTAACGCGGAGCGGCATGCCGAGGCGACGGACTGTTCGCGTTGCGGAGCAGCGCATGACGCCACCACCTGCCCTTTTCGCAAATATCGATGTCGTGCCTGCAAAAAGGTGGGACACCTGGCAAGGGTCTGCAGAACAACGCCACGTTCGGTGCATTCTCTCATCGATGGTACTGGCTTAGAAGACTCTGGTGACTGGGACGATAAAAGTGGTGAGAACGAGGTCTTGCTTAGTCATATTTTTTCATGTCGGAGTAGTCACGGTGGCTACGCTGTGAAAGTTAAGATCGCAGGCAGGAATGTCACGATGCAGGTTGATACCGGAGCCTCTGTGTCTATTGTGCCAGAAAAAATGTACAGACAGTATTGGCCGAATGTACCCCTAGAAAGATGTAGTTTACGGTTAAAAACGTATGGCGGTTCCACACTAGCAGTTGCCGGAAAGTTGACGGTGCATGTAGAGCACGACGGGCAAACCGAGACCTTGCCGTTGATTGTAGTCCGGACGGAAAAAAATTGTGACACTTTGTTGTTGGGCCGCAACTGGCTAGAGGCTTTGAAGCTGAATTGGGCAAGCGTGTGTAATATCAACTTTGATAAAGCAAACACACATGATAGATCAGCCGCACTCATCGAAAAATTTTCGGAAGTGTTTAATCAATCACTAGGACTGATAGCTGACACGTCGGTCAAACTGGTGCTAAAAGACAGCTGTACGCCTGTTTTCTGCAAACATCGGCCTGTGCCATTCGCACTCCGGAACGCGGTAGCGTCGGAGTTGCAGTCGCTAGTGGAATCTGGAGTACTGGTTCCAGTAAAACACAGTGAATGGGCAACGCCTCTAGTAGTTGTCCCCAAGGCAAACAACAAAGTGCGAATATGCGGAGACTACAAAGTGACCCTAAACCGTTGTCTGAGAACTGATTATTACCCTCTGCCAACAATGGAAGATACGTTTGTAGCGCTGCATGGATGCAAGTGGTTTACTGTCCTTGACCTGTCGACAGCGTACCAACAGTTGCAGCTGCACCCCGAGTCGCAACCCTTGGTCACTGTCAACACCCACCTAGGCCTTTTTCAATATACACGTATGCCGTACGGTATAACAAGTGCTCCATCCATTTTCCAAGCGGTAATGGATGATATGCTGAAGGGGTTGGACAGAGTGTCATGTTATCTTGATGATGTGTTAATAGCGGGGGAAACGATGGAAGAGTGTTATGATAGGGTGGAAGCTGTGCTGACAAGGTTCCAGGAACGAGGGGTGAAATTGCGGAAAGAAAAATGCAAGTTTTTTGAGAAGTCTGTGACTTATTTGGGGCACGTGATTGGGGAAAGCGGAATCCGCCCTTCAGAGGACAAGGTGCGTGCTATAAAAGAAGCACCGACTCCAAAGAACAAGAATGAGTTGAGGGCTTACCTAGGCTTGATAAATTTCTATGGGAAGTTCGTACCGAACATGTCAGCACAACTTAAGCCATTGCATGACTTGCTAGCTGTGAATGCCAAGTGGGAATGGACGGAGGTCGCCGAAAAAGCCTTCAAAGCATCCAAGAGCTGGTTGCTGAGCACGTCCGTACTCACCTACTATAACCCTTCAAGGGAGCTAGGGCTCGTTTGTGACGCATCTGCGTATGGTTTAGGCGCAGTCCTTTTTCACAAGGTAGGATCAGAAGAAAGGCCAATCGCTTTTGCCTCTAGAACGCTCACTAAAACAGAGCAGGCGTACGCCCATATCGAAAAAGAAGCACTGGCTGTCGTGTACGGGTTAAAGAAGTTTCACAAGTACCTTTTTGGGCGAAAATTTGTAATATACTCAGACCATCAGCCCTTGGCGGGATTATTGGGAGAGGATAGGCCGATTCCTGCGATGTCAGCGGCACGCGTGCAGCGATGGGCTCTGCAGATTGCTGCGTATGAGTACAAATGGGTTTATCGCAAATCACGCGATATAGGCAATGCAGACGCACTATCGCGCCTGCCGCTTCGGAACTCTGATGACGTGTCGGAGTACATCGGCTTTTCGATGCTAGACGAGCTCCCACTCTCCGCAGAACACATCAGAAGGGAAACGAGAACAGACAGCCTGTTGTCAAAAGTGTTGTTTTACACGCAGAGCGGTTGGCCTTCAAAAGTGTCTGACGATGCACTGGCGCCCTATTTTGTGCGACGCCACGAGCTTTCTGTTGACAGAGAATGTGTGACGTGGGGAAACCGGGTGATAGTACCATTGTCTCTCCGCGACAAAGTGCTATCACTGTTGCACGAGGGCCATCCTGGAATGGCACGTATGAAAATGCTGTCTAGAAGCCACGTATGGTGGCCTCGCCTTACGCCGGATGTTGAGCAAAAAGTTAAAGAATGTGTAACATGCCAGTTGACGCAAAATGCGGCGCCCAAGGTTCCGGTGATGTCATGGGGAGTGGCGGGGCGCCGGTGGGAGCGTGTGCACTTAGATTTTGCGCATCGAGACCAGCATTGGTTCCTAGTACTTATTGATTCGTACTCCAAGTGGGTTGAAGTGTTTCTGATGAGGTCAACTAATAGCGAAAAGACAATAGAGAAATTGCGCACCGTATTTGCCGCGTACGGATTACCGGAAGAAGTGGTAACAGACAATGGGCCCCAATTTACTTCGGAACTTTTCGAGACGTTCATGAGTCGTAATGGCATCCGGCACACTAAATCGCCGCCTTATCACCCGGCATCGAATGGCAGCGCAGAGCGTTGTGTACAGACGTTAAAGAAAAATCTTCTTAAGCAGGTCATGGACGAGCAGAAGAATGGGCGGATGAAGTCTCTCCAGCAGCGGATCGACCAATTCCTATTCAATTATAGGAACACGCCAACAGGTGTTACTGAAGAGACGCCGGCCCAGCTGTTCTTATCGTGGAAACCTAGAACCAGGTTGAGCTTTCTCCATCCAGATATCGAGCAAAGGATGAAAGAAAAGCTAGAGCGAACAAGGCAGGCAGCCAATCGGCGACGTGGAGCTTGGAGAGACTTCGAGGAAGGGGAAGACGTCCTCGTACAAGGACTGCGCCCCGGGGAAGGAGAGTGGTTGAGCGGTAAGGTAAAAAAACGCGAGAGTTTAAGCACTTATGTGATAGGGATAGGGAACGAGGAGAGGTACGTGCATGTTGATCATATGAGACCACGAACATTCCAGGAGTGTTTCCCGCCTTCGGTTCAGGTGCCGTCTGCAAACTACGAACTTCCCGCATGCACCCAAGACGTTGTGCCTCGCAGGTCTTTAGGTGCCCCTGTACCCATCGAGGGCGCACGAGAGACGGCCGACCCCGATCAAGTCGAGGAGCAGGCAGAAGATACAAACAAAGAACCGGTCAACCTACCGGGCCCTTCATCTGCTGGTGGGGACTGCGGCGGGGGCGAGACTCAATCTTCCCCACCGGAACTTCCGGAACTTCGACGCAGCACCCGGCAAAGACGACCGCCGGATCGGTACTAAAAAAAAAAAAAAACACTTGGGGGGGGGGAAGGAGTGTTGTGTAATACTACCCAAGATAGAGCGCGTGTCGTATATAAGATAAGATGCACATGGAAGTGTCTGGCTCTCTGACGTCACTGTTAAGTTCTTTGTTAGATATAAGACCGCCGCGGGTGTGCGGTGGGATTCTTTTTCCGTTGTATTGCTCGTTGAAATAAACATGTGTGTGTTGGCTAGTCGGCTCCCAAGTTGTGAAGACATAACAGGGAGAATAGTAGAAATCAACTATTTCTCAAAAATTTATTGTTACCCACATTGCCATTTAGACATTACAGTGGGTTGGAACTTGCGTTACATATGTAGGTACAATATAAAAACACAAATAATGTAACAGTGCTGACAAGCATTCTATGTGTGCTTGATACGCGCAAAAGCAAAGCGGTTTTGTTGCCATTCATGTTATTTTGATGGTGTACTTTTGAGCTTGTATGGTCCTTTGCCTCCTGAAGATAAATCTGACTTCAAGAAAGCACTAAAGCATAGTTTTTTTCAGCAGCATGTGGAGGTTCCCCAGCTCCTGACACCCTTGACGGGCCGCAGCAATTTGCACAATCGCGAGGCCATCAATCGGAGCCCAGTGTCAACTGCTACTCAGTGTGCAAGCAAGTTGCAGGCTCTCTTGGCTGGCTGCAAGAATTCACCTAGCAAAGAGCTACAGGCTCTGTTCAGGTGTGTCCTGTAGTACCGTTGCTACTTTTTGTATCTGAGTGTTAGGGGGATGTTTTACTAGGCTTATTATCTTACACAAGTTAGGCCAGATGTAGTGTAAGTGTTCGTCTAATGATATTTCTGTGCACTGACCCAAGTAAATAAAATAATGAAAAAAGGGGGATATAATGAGAGGAACTCTCCACCTATTGTTAGACAAACACAACAAATAATTGAATGGTCTATTTCAAATTACATGAAAACACTTTGAAATGCATCACCTCAATGTTGTACTCGTGGTGCTTCAATGCACAAAATAAAGGAACATTGAACATAATTTTTATTTTAGTTATGAACCTGCTTGTGTGCAATTACTAAAAGTAACTTAGAAAGGTTACTGTGTCAGTCTTATCTAATCATTTCTCAGTATTTCCTCTTTTAGAGTCCCTTCAATATTTTCAGTAACCTTTATTTAGTCATTTCTCTTGTTTTGACTAGAAGGCAATGGGAGCTGCATGGCAGTACAAAGTATGTCTAGCCTGCCGCATCTAAGTACTGGGAGGCGACTGTGCAGACATTACCTTGTAAAATGTTTCGTAGTTTTCCATGCCAATTTTAAGCCTAAATAATAGCAGTGGTAAAACTTGTACTTATTGGCATACTGCACAAAGCCATTTTTCAGAGATTTATCTATCCTTGAGGAATAAAAACCTGGTTAAGGCAAATACCTATTTTTTTTTTTTTTTCATGCACCAGTCCCCTACCTTTTTGTTTGTGAGCATAAATTAATAGCTACCGTATTTACTCGATTCTACTGCGCCCTCGATTGTAACGCGCACCCGATTTCCACCGCGAAAAAAAAGACAACGTAAGGCATCGATAGCAATGCGCACCCATTTTTCTCGCTGGCCCGCACGATCACACCACTAGAAAAAATGACTCCTTTCAGCAGCGTCTTCCATTTAAATATGATGTACGGGCAAAGCTTGTGCCCATCTGACAAGTAACAGAGCATTGCCGTCACTGTAGTTTTACCGTGGACTGATGTCAGCACGCGAACTTGCTTCGCCCCCTTCTTCTCGACGGTTGTGGCGCCAGGCATGTCGAAGTAAAGAGGCGTCTGATCGGCATTTCCGATTTGCCCAAGCAGGTAGCCGTTGTTGCGCCGCAAGTTTAGGACGAACCTCTGAAAACTGTGAAGCTTTTCATCGTACTCCTCCGCAAAACTTTTCGCATATGCATGTTCCCCTTCGAAGGGAAAAGCCTTTCCTCTTCATAAAGTTAGTTAGCCAGCACCTGCTCGCTTTAAACTGGCTCCGCATTAGACCTTTTTCTAAGACTAATTGCTTAGCCCGCACTTGGAGCAGTTCTGTCGTCACGGGCCGCTGTGCCGCTCGCTGCTCAAGCACATACTCGCCGAGCAGCTCTTTAATTTGCGGAAACCGACCCTGCTGTGGTCTACTGAAGTCTTTGCGTGAAGCTTTGCTGTCGACAATCTCCTGCTTGTGTTTCCGCCGGTCCCGCACGCACGTTTCGGGAACTCCGAACGACCGCGATGCGGCCCGATTTCCGTCCGTTTCTGCACACGCGATGACTTTTCTTTTAAAAGCGGCATCGTGGTGCACTCGAGTTTTTGGAGTCGGCCCCTTCCACGCCGTCGATGCTAATGCACTACTAGATGACGAACTCCTCAGCACACGTACGAAGTGCCGCACATGGGAAACACATAGGCAGAAATGGCCGACGCGCCATGCCGACGCACGTAGGGGGCGGCCATTTTGGATTTGCCGATGGCAATAGATTGACCATAATTTTTTTGTTAGTACTCGATTTTAACACGCATGCGATTTATGAACTCGCTTAACCGGAAAAAAGGTGCGCGTTAGATTCGAGTAATTACGGTAAGTGGTATTTCGTTATTTAGTCTTATATATGCCTATTGTACCGTTTTACATCTGAAATGCCTTGTAGGGATGTCATTTTCATTTTTAAAGCACATTTAGTCACGTATGTCCACAAAACCCAGCTTCATTTGAAGATACTATTGCTAAGGGCAACTTAAGTGGCAGTCTTACTTAATACCCATTACCTTGTCAAATTTAGGCTCATTTTGAGCAGCTTAACTTATGATTCCAGAACGTCACTTTGGTGGCATGCTGCACACTAGAAAGGGAAGTGTACTTTTGAAATGATGGTCATGGTGATGTGTACTTAAGTAGCACATCAGGTATTTATTATTTCAGTTTCCTAAGTAATCTGTTTTAGCCATTAGTAGCCCTTAAAATGAATTTGAGATACGAACGTGGCTGGTGCAGCCATTTCACGACGTGTGTTGAGCATGCCCCTGGCGGGTGTGGCTCTTAAGTGCCTGCGAGCGAGAATGGCAAAGTAGCTTTTTTGTGTGGTATAGGGTAGTGTGTTTTATTTCATAAGGCTATTTTCAATAACAAAAATTTGTTTTAAAAAAATCAAGGGAACTCACTCAGCTTTGCATAATAAGTTATTTATTGTGAAGCCACTGAGAAGGCTATGCAATCCATCGCAAAGCAGTGAGTTTGGTGACACTCAGGAAGAGTGCTTTGTAACGAGTGTCGCTGAGTATTCTGGTCTGGCAGCATGTGAATGACACTAGCGGCGAAGTGTCATCCCACAAAATGATATAAACTTGCCAGTATGACTGGGGTTACTTAGCAAGTGAGACCTCACATATCCAAAGTTCATTGAGCCTTCTAACGGCCTCCTGTCACCTTTGTGACACTCTTTAGTGATGCCTCTGCAAGAAATGACAAAAGTATTGTTCAGCTGTAGAAAGGCTGTTTCACATAACATTGTGGAAGTTGGTTGATCCAGAAGATTGCTAAAGCTTCTTTGAAAAAGTTTGCTTTAGGCATTAGCTTACAACGTGGAATTTTATTTTTACCAGGCTCACTGGCCTTCTAGTTTTATATACACTAGGGTAGTGCATTTCTTTTATTTGTCATAGCTGATTATATATATATATATATATATATATATATATATATATATATATATAGTGGTACAGAAGTGTAGCATACACATTTGTGAACTTATTTGTAAGCGTTTCAACAAAAGAGCCTAGCTAGAGGCTTTTGGTGGTGAGCTATTTGGCAAGGGGATTATTTGCAGCATCGTTACGCACTTGTCACTATTTAGGCTTATCTACTTTAAGGGGAGACACGGCCCTTTAGAGCGAAAGATTGCCAAAAAAATCAACCTTTCAAAATATTTTTTTCAATATCTCGACGTGCAAAGGAATCTATTGCTGGAATATTAACTCGTTCCGATTAGTATTTATTTTGCTATTGCGTTCTAAAGAGATCTTCATGATCACTCTCGCTCAAAAACGCCCCCCTCCCCCTCCCCCCAACGGGCAAATTCAATGCCGTCGTCTGCGGTAACCGTTAGCCGCAGCGCGGCCATATTGGAATCATTTGAAAGCTAAATTTTTCAGCAATCCGGTTTTAGCGAGAAAACAACTCTAAGTCTGGTGACTATGGGGCTACACGCCACCGAAAAGGAGGGAATACTCGCACGGCATTGGCGCGCTTGTACCACGTGGGGCAAATCCTGCTCTCCAATTGGACGACCGAAAATTTCGTCTGCCTGACTGTGTGTAAGAATGCGCGACTCCCTGTCACAAATTGTTCGGACGCGACGATGGCTGGCGGGCGACGCAAATTTGCGACAGTTCATACCTACGGCAAAAAACGCAAGCGTCGGCCTCGGATACCTGAAGCAGCACCGAGTGAATCGAGGGCGACGAGCTCCGCGACATGCACCAGCAGGTGTACGATATCCACCGAAGCTGCAGCCGCACAAGCGATGCCTGTGGCCGACGACACGAGGACAACGCGCGTCGATACGCATTTTGTGACAGAAGCTGAAAAAGTGGCGATTGAGCATCGTGCGGAAAAGCAACGACAGAAGTTGTCTTCGTTATCAGCTATCTGCCGAAAGCAGTCGCTTATCGGAGATCCCGGGAAGCGGCGGGGTCCGGCACCGAGTTCACGCTGCTAAGCCTACCGTTGCTGAACCAACTGCTTCGGTGCGCGAAATGCGAATTCTGCTCTGGCCCATTGAATGTTTCACGGGGCGACCGTGAGTACGGATTGGCAGTTAGAATAGTGGTGAACTGTGCCGTCTGCGGAGATGTCAGCGCCGGATGGAGCTCGCCGAGAGCAGGGGGGAATGCCACCTGCAACCCTTTCGAAGTAAATGTGCTTGTGGCTCGTGCAGTTATGAGCACGGACAATGGGCAGACCGTCCTAAACGACATTTTTTCAGCCCTGAATGTGTCTCGTCGTGGAATGCACAACAAAACGTACCAAGACTACGGCAAAACCAGGATGAACCCTGCCGCGATGAACGCATTTGCGGGTATTATGAGTGAGTGCGCAACAGCTGTGAAGGCCATCTATTCTGAACTGAATTTCGGGAACCCCGGCAATATCGCAGTTTCCTTCAACGGGACTTGGCTCACTCGTGGCCACTTGTCGCACATTTGTGTGGGAACTGTAATAGAACTGTTTTCGGGCTATGTGTTGGACTTCAAAGTTCTCTGGAACTTCTGTTTGGTTGCGAGAATGGCCCCAAGGACGATGACCCTCGATACAGTGAGTGCCGAGCTCGGCACAAGTGCCAAAAAACTCTTCGAGCAAGCCTGGCCAGATGGAGCTGGAGGCTGCCAAAGTTTATTTCGCCGGTCCCTCGAAAAGCATGGGTTCCGCTACACAACGATGTTGTGCGATGGCGATAGCCGCGCTTTCAACGGCCTTCAGGAGGAGCAAGTGTATGGCTTCGTGGCTATCGAAAAGGAGAATTGCGTAAATCATATACATAAAAGGACGGGTGCTGCACTGAGACACCTCCTGCAGAAGAGCAAGGGGGAAGGTCGGCCAAGCCTCGGTGGCAAAGGAAAGCTCACTGCTGAGCTTGTAACAAAGCTTACAAATTATTATGGTTGGGCACTCAAGGCACACCAGGGAAACATCGATGAGATGGAGAATGCTGTCCTTGCCACTTACTATCATGTGACTTCTACTCATGCAAAGCCACAACATTCACGGTGCCCAAAGGGAGAAGACTCATGGTGTGCACACAACAAGGCAGTGGCAAGGCAGCAGGCTCCTCCTAAGCATCGGTACAACCTCCCGTAATATGTTGCAGAAGCGCTCCTTCCAGTGTACACTCGCCTCTCAGATCAAAAGCTGTTGGAGCACTGCCAAAGAGGCAAAACTCAAATGAGAGCCTCCATTCAGTGATCTGGTTGCTTGTACAGAAAACCAAGCGCGCCTCGCTCTTCACAGTCGAAACTGCTGTTGTGGAGGCGGTTGCTTGGTTCAATGCTGGAAACGTGCTTCTGAGACCATTTTGAAGGAGCTGCATTTGAACCAAGGCAACACAGATGTTGAAAGATGTCTGGAAAAGGACCAGCAGCGGCATGTGACAAAAAGCATACCAGAGCAGAAGACTTCAAAAATGCCATGAAGAAGAGGCGTGTGAAAGAGAATGATGGTGATTATAAGCCTGGTGGCTTCTAGAGCAAAAAGGACTCCCACCTGTTGCTTTTTTGGCAAGAATTGGTTATATCAGTTCTTCAAACTTTTTTTTGTTTTCTCAAAATCAGTTTTTTGCCTATGTGCTATAATACTGTTGCCCACAGTATCTTTTGATCTAGTGATGAGATTTCAACGATTCTTGTTGCAATTGACAGCTTACGAGTTCCTATACACAATAAGACTACTAAAATTTATATTTAGTGAAGAGAAAATTTTTTGTGCTGATAAATCTCATGAGAATTCTCATGTTCCCAACCATTATATTACATATGGCAATAACTTTTATAAAAATAGAGCTAAAATTACAGTGATAGTATAGTTGTGATCCTTGATTATTGTAGACTATGTCCATATAAAGTGTTCTAGGATATTCAATGATTAAATTGCAGAATAATTGGGCGATCCGACTATTCATTATTTATTCAATATCTCTAAAACTACTTGAGATAAAAGAAACTGGATTGCATATATCTTCACAGCAGGTTAAAAGATACATTGTCTGGATATTTCATTTGAATATGATAATAAACAAAAAAAGTTTTTAGAACACCAGAGTCTCCCCTTAAGGCAAAATTGGTATGTTTGAAGTGCTCAATGTCGAGGAAGCACTGAATAAATTCCTGCATCAAAGCATGCATTGTGGGCACATATTTTTGCAGCACTGAAACATGTGGTAAAGCTACTGACAAATTCTGTTCCCAGGCTTCATGTACGAGCTAGTGAAACAGTGTATATTGATTTAGGTTTGTTCATATATGGTGCTCTAGCTTGGACATTATTTTAGATGCTTTTTGTTTCCTTGTGACTTCCTTCTGTTTTATGAGGGATGTTTCCGTAGCGGCTAGTAAAATTATGGATGTTCTTTTGGTGCTGGAATGCCTATACTAACTATTCTTGTGTGACTTTGTGATCAATCGAGACTTCCTTTCACTTCACAATTTCTTTTTTTTTTTTTTTTTTTTGGTCATGCATGGTTCAGATTAAGCTCTCTACTACTGTGTAGAAGTGCATCGATGTAGAACACTGACAGGTCGAGCGAAATTTTGGGCTGTTAAGATGAAAATATCATTTCGGTGCTGCATTGAAGAGTTTTCAACATTTTACTCTTCAATCCTTTTAAGCATTGCTACAATGTATCGGCAGAGCATATTGCAGTAGGCAAAAGTGATCTGTTGCTGAACATCACTTGTCTGTCTGGCAGCTGTCGGTTTATTTTAACCGCATGATTGCCGAGGTTTTTATGCACTAAAAATGAAGTAAATCTTGCACATTCATTTAGAGGCTTCTATGGAAGTGAAGTGCAAGCTGTACTTGATTTATGAACCTCTCTCTTCTTTTTTCTTTTTTTTTTTTCAGCACACTTGATTCTTCTCTGGAAGCCACTGTGTTGGAGACTGTGAAATCAATGGGGGATGCCTTCTGTACTGCATACGCCCAGGTAAGCAGGTGTACACATTTGTCTTCATTGGTGTTGATGAGTTTGATGTGGTGCTGTCCATTAGTTTCGAGTTATGTTTGGAAAATTAAAGAGTCTTGCTTCTCTATTATCGACTGGAAAGTTCCATTCACTAATCTTTTTCAGTTTTTGTATAGTACAAAATACTAGTCCTTGTAGTCTCAATACTCAAGGATTGTTTTGTTGTGATTACAAGATAGAAAGGAGGTTCCCTTGCAGCCTTTAGCTTTATGGCCTCTTGGGCTTGTTGTGTATGTTCAAACTTGTATGTATCATGTTGTAAAAAAATAGACAATATTCTTCGACTAATTAAAAAAAAACTTAGCCAGTGGTGAGTCAAGGGCCCCCAGTGACTAGTTACTAAATACTTTATCAAAGTTTTTTGTCTGTCTTCATGTTTACAAAATATGGTGTGCAGTGTCAATGGGTTAAAACACAAAAAACATATCTAACCCATCGATGAGCATTATCCTTCTGCTTCAAAAGAACTTCTTTGCCACATGGCATTTACTGTGAGGTGCATAATTGTTGGTAATAAGGTACTCACAAAGCAGGAAACGAAGAAACGCAAATGCATGTTTAGATTAGACAGATTACTGAAATAACGTTTAAAGTGACCTTCTGGCTTATAATGCAATATTAAGTATTGGTGAAGGAAGGGGGATGACGGGGACAAGATGCATCCTTTTGCCAGCATGCGCCATGACCTTGAGCACTTTCTTTTCCTTTTTTTCTTCAAATGTGCGGCTTACTCTCAATTTGATCGTGAGCATGTGCACAGTCAAGTGGCAGCATTTCGCGACGGCCACTGTAGCTACGAAGCTCACAATGTGCAAATTGACCGATGGCTGCGGCAAACTTGGATATATGGTGCAGAAATTAGGGTAGAAGGCATCAGTTGTAGAGAGCAGAGAAAGAGCGATTTCTAGCTGACTTTGAGAAAAAGGGCAAATTTCGGGCTGTGTACAGTGCTATAATGTCTGACTCTCGCATTTTCGGGAGCCTCGATTATCGGCTGGCAGCGTTTTCTGACCATGCTCAAAAAGTGGTGCTGGGCCCCTTTGAGGGGGGACGCGGCTTTGGGATCGCAAAAAGTGGCGAAAAAATTGATTTTTTGAAACTCAAGTTTTCAGTTTCTGGAACCCATTTTTTTATCTGGTTCCAAAATATCTACTGAAAACCGCGCAGAAGTGCTTAGGAAAATTCGTTTCACCCACCTAGGTAGCAAAACAAACTTTTTCTGGAAATGGCGAGAAAACAGCGATTTTCAAAAATTTATAGCTTCGCGATGCTTGGGCCGGGAGCCGGCTTCTTGGGCTCATCGGAAAGAGCATTTCTCCGTGTTTAACTTTCCCGCCTCAGCTGGCTCCTCCCTTCAACAACAAACGCACGAAAGGCAAATATTTGAAGGTCATTTTGAGGCCCTTGATTGGCCGCGGTTGCCATGTTGCCTCAGCTCGCCTCGCCATTGGCCCGACGCTCGCTCCGGGAGATCGTCGTCTGCTGCTTGTGCGTCGCGAGGACATGGCTCTCGAAAATCGCTACTTCGGGACGTGTTCACGGCGTGATGATCACTTAAGATATAATTACGCTTTAGTTACGAGCAGTAAGCGGATGTGCGATCAGGTTACTACGAGCGGGCGCACGGTCTACGAGCGCCGCGCGTCATCGGAGTCGTCTTTAGCCCTAACTCCGCCGACAGCGAGACTGCGGGCAGGAACGACGCGCTAGCGCATTCGTGGCGACGTGCTTCTTCGCAAGCAATGAAGCTGTAAGCGGCGGCACGATCTGATTACTACGAGTGGCCGCACCGGATGCACGATCAGGTTACTACGAGCGGGCGCGCGGTCTACGAGCGGGCGCGCGGTCTACGAGCGCGGCGTGTCATCGGAGTCGGCTTTAGCCCGAACTTCGCTGACAGCGAGACTGCGGGCAGGAACGACGCGCTAGCGCACTCTTAGCGACGTGCTTCTTCGCAAGGAATGAAGCACATCACTCGCTAGCTCCTCTGAACCACGTACGGGCATTTTATGCATCGGCAGCGAACAACACAGTCAAGCTCGTCCCCCCCTCACTGCCAAGGATTGCTCGGAACAGCAGCTAGCAGTTTCACGCGTTCTCATTCGAAAATGCGATGCCAAGCGCAGTGCGCGCCGATTTTTTGTCATCGTAGTTGCACATTTCAGGCATCGTCGCCGAACGCCGCCAGCAAGTGCATTACGCGCCGGCTGCACTGTTCACGCGGCCGCCGCACCCCACGGTCACATGGAGTGCTGTCAATAAGCTTTTGTGATGCGATTCAAACATGCTTGGAGCCGTGTTTGATATCGCCACGTACGTCTATGAATGTTCCGAGGTTAATGAATTGCTGTAGATTAGAGTTTCCGCGGCCGGCTGTATGATGATGTGTTTCACTGCTAGAGCTGCAAAAGAGCATATATGAATCAGGGGCACAAATTTTAATATGCCCGTTTCGCGTCATTAATTATACTGCTAAAAATTCCTGTGTCACCAGTCTTTTGCCGATAACTTTGTTATTTGGAAAGAAGGCATAGGTCGTGATGGTGTGATCCATTTTTCTGATGCAATAAACCTCTCTCTAAATAAAGGAAAGTTCAGTGAATATTTGTAATCAAGTACTTAATTACGCTAATTACAACTTCAGCCCAAAAAATATGTGTAATAATTTCAGTATATGGTTTTATTCAATTACAATATTTTCTGTCATACCTATCACATTTCTCCTTCATACAAGGAACTCCATACTTGAAATCTATACTTGTTCTTTGTAAATCGTGAAAAGGAGTAAATCATGAAAAGAAGTCAAATATCATGAGACAGACTTGAGATCACAATTTTTAGGTGTCCTAGAGACGTGAAGAAAAGTTTAAACTTTAAACGCAGCTTTCTCAATACTGTTTTTTTTTTTACATTATGCTCAGCCCCTCCACATGATTCAATGAAGAAATAATTTGTCTCTCATAAAGTATTTGTGGTATCATTTCAAAATTTTTATGGAAGCACTGTGAGGTCATTCTTTGTGTCTGTGCCAATTTTCATCAATATTCAACGAGAAACAAATTTCATTGAAAAAGGCCTGTCGAAAACTTCGACTGGCTTTTTCTCACAAGTGTGTTTTGGACATCGTGCATTGCTTGTGGAAAGAGTAGCACGGGAATGACTGGACCGATTTTGATTGTTTTTTTTTTTTTCTGAATCCCTGAACACTGCTTGTGGATACAGCAATCTTCAATTTCTGCTTTATGGCCCTGTTTTTTTTTTTCTGGACGATGATTTGTCCGTGCCACTATTTCTGACAATGTGTGTCGGCAGCTATGATGACCTCTAAAAAAAAAAAAAAGGGAGAACTTATTGAAGAATTCTGAGAGTGCCATACCCTGTAGCTTTCTTTTGAGTAAAGATCAACACCATTCGCAGCTTCCTGGCATGTTTTGTTACAGCGCTAAGCTTTCCACGAGCAGACCATGTAATGGACCATGTAGCTATATGTAACTTGATAACTACTGAAGGTATTATGATGAAACTGCATATTTTCCTATTTGAGACACTTATGAGTATGCATGCCAAATGTAATTGCCGTAGGTCAACAAATAAAAAAAGTTTTTTTCAACGCCACCTCCCTCCTAAAGGGACACTAGAGGCAAAGGACAAATTTATGTCATATGAAAAGCTCAATGTATGACATCTAAAATGGCATTATTATCTACAGAAGTGCCTTACTTATTGAGAAATTAAGCTAAATTTATCACATGATGTGCCCCACGAGTGGAACATTTTCAAAATGATCCCAATGACTTGAGATTGTCTGCCTACTAATAATCACTATACTCTTTCACCACTGTGGTTCAGCACTTCCAAAGCTATGCAGTGTAAGAAAGCCACATGCTTTTAGCAAAACATAGTCCCAGATATAGTAAGTGCAATAAAATTGACAGGGTTGATTGGAATTGGCATTTGTTCAGTGTGTGTTACGACACGTCAATACGTGATATAATTTTTTGCATCTATTTCATGCGCATTAAATTATTTGTGTCAATTACCGCTGCTGTGTTTACAAATCAACATGGCAGAACCCATGCAGAAGTGACCGCCCACTGCACTGACAGCAACAAATAAGTCCTGGAATCAGCCATCGATTCATTTCAACTCACCCTGAGAATAAAGCAACAGGCACGTCTTGTTATTAACGATATCTGTTTCCAGCTTAGCCGCAACTGCTAAGCCTAACACGCCGAGGCAGTGCTTGGGCTGTGTCACCAGACCAAGAACGCTGCATCTCTTATGGACATGCAACCTGACACAGCGTTTCGTGCGCGTTAAATCCTCTTTCAGTGGAAACAAAAAAGAAAGTAAGCGTTGTAGCGAGAGATGCTAAGGAATGCGTTGATGAATAGGCAGTCATACGATAGCCACGAATAGCGTCAGAGAGAAACAGCCACTAAGTGGAGTTATCCGCCAGCATGAGCGTCTACTGATCTTCAGCAGAGCAACAAATTCACGCTTCAAGATTTTAATGTCGTTGCTTGTTTTACTAATTACTTAAGTTAATAATTAATTATTTACCTAATTTTATTTCATAATTACTTAAGTTAATAAACCAGTCATATTATGTGCAATGAAAGTGTATAGACCAATCTGCAAGCAGACGCTGTGAAGACGGTGAGCAGATGACATGGTGCCTATTAATACATGTGGATTGGCTGAGGGGCCCTGTAGCTTCCACAGTGCTGAAGAGAACTTCTGAAACAGAGTATAGTAATCAAACTAGCTGCTATAAAAAACTTTCCGTGCATCAAGAGACGTAATAAGATGCTGCCTATACGTTGTTTGATTTATAGAAAAAAGAACCGCCTGGTGTTACTATGGAGAATGGCGCGAGTAGTTAAAAAGCTCTTTGGGGGGGGCTAGAAAAATTGGTTATGCCATCTAGCAGAGCCCAGTTGAAACAAGCAAGCAGAATTATGGCCTCCGATATTGCAGAAAATTGTTCAATGACCGTTGATGCTACTGTGGATCCCGCTACTTTCGCTCTGCTGCTACTGGTGCCAGCGGCCGTGTAGTAAAGGCGGGCAACATTGGGCATGGTAACAGTGACATTTGATAGACCGCTTTCAGGCATGGGTGACAGTGCGCTACCGCGATGCAAACCATTAAAACATGATTTCATTTCAAAATAAGCACTTTCTTGGCACAAAACTAGCACCGCGAAGTTTCTGGATCGCTACTTTAATAACGTTGGCTTAATATTTGCCTTTAGTGTCCCTTTAAGTACTGCAGTGTATGTGGCATTTACTGTCTGAATGTCCTCACTGTGTAGTTGGTTGAGGCCTTAGTTTCTCTTGTGCAATTAAACCCAACTTACCATATTTTCTTGCATATAACCTGCACCCCTTACTTTGAACTCCCCGAACAAAGAAGAAGAAATGCTCGCATACAACCCGCATGCTTAGGTTAAGAAAACGTTTCGGGAAGTAGTACAACAATATCGTTTACAAAAGAATTTTATTTTGAAGCAATCGGTGCAATGTTGATGGGGCCGATTCCCGTTCCTTCAATCATTGCTCGACTCGCTGCTGCCATCCGAGGCTTTGTCAAAGACGCAATCGTCTTCGGTGTCATCCAAGCAATTGCTGATGGTGAACTTTTTGAAGGTCTTGGGCGTTATGTCGGCTGGAATCGCCCCTGGCCTGGCTACATATCGCTGGTGCCATCCACGGCTCGCACGAAACTCACATGAAATGTTCATCTTGCGGGCCAACCTCAGCACTTACATTTGCGTCATCTCTGTTGATATAACATGGCCACAACTCATCTACTCCTCAATAAATTTGGCAAGCTGCGTCTCAAAACGCGGGTATGCACCAGTCTTCGGACCACGAAATGCTCGCTGCTCTTTGCGTGCAAAACACTTTTGATATAAGCCCCCCCCCCAGTCGCAAATGCAGAACTCGTTGCTGTAGTGCCTCCTTGCAGCAGCTCTGTTGCCAATTTCTGCCGCAGCAGCTATAATCTCGTTTTTTTTTTTTTTTTTTTTTTTTGCGGTGAAAGATTGTCATCAAGACCCACTCATGGTGCCTCACCAGACAAGGCTGATAACAGTGCAAACTGGCCCACCTGGCTCGGAGACAGACACTATCAAATCCCTGTTGTGATGCTGTTGACCAAAGCAAAGGACGCAAAAAGTGAATAAACACACTACGGAGGAAATCTGTTTATGGCCGGTGTTGGCTTTTATTGGCTCTGCACTAGACAATGCCGATGGTGATGCAGACTGCGCAGCAGGCCATGCATTGCTATGAAGCCCACCCCTGCTTCTGTATTATTCGCAGATAATCCAAACCTCAACTTTTCAGGCGATTTTTTTTTCTTCTAATTTTTGGTGCAGGTTACATGCGAGAAAATACGGTAACTAATGACATGTGTGACGTTTGTGACTTTGATAATGTAATTAATCTGACAATTTTGCTTTATTGTCAGCCTGCATCTGACCAGAGAGGTAGCAGTGCCCACATCGACTTCGCTCGAAAACGGCTGCAGTTAGGAGAGACATTGTTCTACAAGGCACTGGAGAATATTGTCAACATTGAAATGAAACAGAAAAGGCCCAATACAGACCTTGCGGTGAGTGTTCTTGGACATCAGCATCTGATGTGTTCATTCTATGTCTTCATACTAACATTGTAATCATATGCTATAGTCGTATACAGGCTAAAAAAAGCCGTGGCAGTGCACCTTCAAATAACTCTTTAATATGTGGACCAACCTTTTCTCCTGTTTACAATACACATCATGTGAAATATTTTAATTGAGTCTTTTTAGCCTCTTTCCCATCATGGCCCACAACAATGCAGATATATTCAAGCTAATGCCCTGTTTGTGAGGTTAATGGGGTGCCATTATAAAAGGCAATGTCAATGTATCAATTTTATTTGTTCCTACCCCTACACAAATAAAAACAAAGCTGTCAGAGAGACTGTAATATGTGAACTATGACACATAGTGAATAATATCAAGTGAGTTATGCATTTCCCTTTTCTAGAAATTACTGTTTAAACGCAGGCTAAATCTTTCCTTCCGTATTGGTGTAGGGCAGTAGTCTCAAGCTCGCCTCTAAAAGCGGGCTACAGTCACAAAATTAGCCCTTCAAAGACCAGGACAGCGAGAAAGTATGAGAGAGAGAAAAGGGGCAGTTAGAAGAAAATGTCAACTAACAATGCTGTTTGAAAGATGGCCTTCTCATGTTTTATAAGTGGGTTGTTTCTGATGGGAATTCATCAGGATACGAGAAACATACAAATACCTATCTCCAGAAGGACTAAAATCTGGGTGCCGATTCTGAAGTGTAGAGTTTTTGCTCCATGGCTATGTTTCGACACAATGTGTACTCATGAAAAAAAAAAAAAAAATGAGCGAGATTGGTCACTTCTGTTTAGCACATAAACGTACCTATTGAGAAAATAAAAAAGAGTATATAAAGTAAACTCTTGTTAATTTAAGGGGAGACGCGGGTCGAAAAGTCGCGGTTTTCCGGAAAATTTTCGCTTTTTTTTTTCCGGCTGTATTGGCATCCTTGGACTATAATCTATTACTTCTGAAAATATCAAGCTGAATTCGCACGAGAAATTATCAAAAAATGCTTCCAAGTGGGCAGCGGGTGACGCGAGAAGAAATGTGCGAAGTCGCGAAAAAACGGCGAAGTTCGCGTCGTCCTGTCGCGAAAACGACGCGTTGGCCGCCATTTGCAATCGTGCACGCATGCTGCGAAGGCCTTATCCTTCATAATCCACTAGTAGCCAGTCTCGTGCCTTCACGCAGAATAAACAAAAAACGAGGAAAAACAACGCGTACGTCACGCGTTTTGAATATCGCGGCACACAGCGCGAGGCCGCCATTGGACGGCGGTGCGCTACACGCTCCTCCCCCTCCTATCTCTCCGGCAAAAGAACGAAGCCTCGGACGTCGCGATCGAGTTTTTCTGCGTTTCTCTGCATTTTTGCGTCATGGCAAGCGACAGCGAACGACGATGTCGCCCCGACCAACGCCCCGACGCTCCGACTTCGGATAGGCCTACACCGTCACGAACCCTGCGACAGTGGTTGTGAAATAGCCGCTGCCGTAGAATTCGTCAGTGCATCCCAAAGGAAGATTGGATTCTTCGAGAGTGAACGTAGACGGTAGATGATGCTACTGCGAACATGCTGCTTTGCGAAATCGATGCGCTGACGGCACTTGTGGCGGGGTGCGCAATGCCCAACCTGCCGCGAACGGAAGCTCGGCGTGCGAGAGGCAGCTGGAAAGCGCAAAGGACTTTTCGGCATTCCTCGAACTGTGCTGTCAAAATTCTGATTGCCCTGAATCTGCACTTTCGTTCACGCACACGTCGAGACGTACTGCTTCGGCGGGGGACCAAGGAACGCGCGCTCGTTTGACAGCGGCAGCTCGCGTGACAGCTTTGCTGTAAACGTGAAGGCAGTTCTGGCAGCACGCGCTATAGGCGCAGGCCACGACCAACTTTCACGATTTTGTGCGATTCTCGGTCTTCCGAGCCCGATGCATCACAAGACATTCAACGGCATTTGCAAGAAGCTCCATGGTGCGGCAATGCGGCAGTGAGCAAAAACTTGCACCAGGCACGAAACATCACGAAGGACGCAGTCGGCGGCAGAGATGTGCCAGTCATGTTTGATGGCACCTGGCAGAAAAGAGGTCATAAAAGCCACAATGGAGTGGGCACAGTCGTGTCCCTGGACACAGGGCTCTGCCTCGATTTTGAAGTTCTTTCGAACTACTGCCATGCTTGCAGTATACACAGGGACCTTGGGGAGGATGAAGAGATATGGCGAGCTTTTCATCTTCCAGTTTGCCAAAAAAACACTGACTGCTCATCCCATGCAATGGAACCTGCGGCAGCTGTCAATATATGGCAGAGGACCTTGTCTTATGAAACTCCACTGCGATTCACCAGCTTCCTAAGTGATGGTGACAGCAAGGCCTGCACTGCAGTCTGCGAGGCAAATGTATACTGTGACACCCCCATTGACAAAGAAGAGTGCACGAACCACGTTGCAAAGCGCTTGGGAACTGCCCTACGGAAATTGGCAACGCCACTGCCACGAGGCGAAAAACTGAAAGATGCGACAATAATAAAACTACAAACGTATTACAAGATCGCCATCACGAGCAACAAGGACAGTGTCCGAAATATGTACACTGCCATATGGGCATCGTATTTTCATTGCTGCTCCAGTGATGGTGCCAGTAGCCACAACTTTTGCCCCGCGGGACCAAATTCGTGGTGCAAGCACAAGCGTGCGGAAGCACTGGGGGAGCCTGCACCACGCCACACCCCACTGTTGACGAAGGCTCAAGGATTGGCAATTATGCCTATCTACAAGCGCCTTACAGAGGAGAAACTCCTTATTCGGTGCCTTCATGGCAAGACACAGAATGCAGCCGAATCGCTGAACAGCAAGATATGGCTGCTATGTCCAAAAACAATGTTCGCCTCCAGAACAACTGTGGAGACAGCCACTGCTCTTGCTGTACTCTGGTACAACAAAGGCCACAGGGGCTTTGAAGAAGTGCTCGAAGGCATTGGAATTCTCCCCTCACATGATCTGGCCACACATGGTGCCCACTGTGACGTCATGCGCATCAGGAAGATGAACCTGAAGCAAACTGCAGAAGTGAGGGCACACCGTCGCAACACAGCGAAGAGAGCTCGTGTTGAGGACACTGACCGCAAGAGCCGTGAAGGACCAAGCTATGGTGCAGGGGACTTCTAGACACTTGCAGTGCATTCAAGGCAAGGTACTTTTCATTGTGCCACAATTTGATGCAAAAAGAATGATTTCCTAATAAATGCCAACTTTGCGAACTTTCAAACTTGTTTTTCTCATTTTCATTTTTTCTGACAGTTTCACGTTTTCCGGGCAGCCTTTTAGAATCTTATATTCATTGTATAGTAACGAAACTTGGCACACATATTCTTCAACACATGCAGAATGCAAATATCTACTCTAAATTGCAATGCCTACCAGCATTAGTTGTGAAATATTAGTTTATTGTTTCAAGGGAGATTGAAAATAATAAGTCATTCTATACAATTTTTTTTTCTTGGTTTCAATATTTCTGTGACATATCTATATAGATATTTGCACTTTTCAATCTACCAAGAGTCAAATAAGATCAGACACAGTGCTTTTACTGAAAGTTTAGTACATAAAAGAGTGCCCGCAAAAAATGTAACTTTTTGCTATTGTTTATGGCATAACTCAATAATTATAGCAGCTACACAAAAAATGATTGCATATTTGAAATCTGCATGAAAAACTATACTAATAACAAACTTTTCAAGTCTCTATTACTAGAAATAAAAAAAAAAACTTTTTCGAGCAGCGTCTCCCCCTCATTAATTCAGAAACTCAGATAATATAGTAAAATCTCGTTAATTTAAGCCTCTTTTATTCAGAAAATCAGGTAATTCAGATGTTACAAGAAAATTTGACGACGCAAACCACAGTAGAAGAATAGGCAAAAGGAAAAAGCGTAAAAAAAAATGCTCTTTTCTTATGCTCATTCTTCAGTGATTTGCCTCGTCTAATTTTCTTGTAACATGCACCTGCTAGTCCAACAGCAGTGTTTACTAATTTGGATTTGTTCCCTGGTCTCAGTCAGTACCATTATGTGTCGGCACTATTCAGTCACATCAAGCTCTTGCTAATTTGGTCAAATTGGGCCGCAACACATTTAATCTGGGCGATCCACGGAGCATGATGAGCGCAAAGTGTCACAAATGCATACTTGCGAAGTCTTCTGGATTTTGAATGTTTCTCCCAGTTGTACTAAAGCCCCTAGAACTTCATAAAGTAGCGATGCTCTCCTCCTCCGCCCGCGTTTCTCCTTGGTCTCCTCTCCACGCACTCACATTTCGAACGTGGCACCACCTGCATTGCTCCTGTGCAGCAGATGCCCTTTCGCGAAGTGAGCGCTTGCTCGGCGGGCAGTTTGCTGAGAGCATTTGTGCCAGTCGTCTAACTCATCCTAAAATTATCTTAACGAGTGTAGCGTTAGCCCATATCAGCTCTTTTTAGTTGCCACGTGCAATGCGTACTTGTGATGTGGCCTTTATCGAGTCACTCGGCACTGCAGTGATCGGATGTTGACTTTGTGCGCATCACCCTTATGTATGTTCCTAAACGTCAAACTGTGATTGTTAGTGAGAACACCCCCCTTTTTTTTTTTTTTTTTTGGCTCATCGTTAAGCGCGGCTCCAAATAAGCTTTGCACTGTAAATAACATCACTGAAGCGTTCATGTGCGGCTTCTATGGTTAACCTTTCTGCTAGCTGGCGCGATAGCGCCCAAAGGGACAGTTCGACTGTTTTTCTTACTCAGCGGACTGGTGCGGACTGGTGGTACAAGCTTCACCGTGTATAGAGTAGAGTACACAATATGTGCAGAGAGCATTCACAGTGACTGTCATTCAATGAAGCAACAACTCCCATGGACGCTGTCGACTCGAGCCGGCGATGTCGCCGGTAGCCAATTCTAGCATTTCCTGAGACATCTAAAGCCCTAATAATGTCTCAGAAGGCGCACAGTTGATACAATTTAACAGTT